GTGCAGTAGTCCGGCGTAAAAGTACGGGTTTCCGTCAAGTTACTATGCATAGCTTTCTTAAAATAGTACTGTCTGTAAAACTAAGATATGCATCAAAAATGTATACAGTTAGATGTAAAAAGTCGTATGCCTTTTTCAGAATCTGCAATAATAATGTTGTCTGCTAAGTTTTAAGAATAAAGAAGTTACATAATACTGAATTTACTTAGGGGAAAACTGGCAAACTTGAGTTGAATCATCTTTCAAAACTGTATTTCAATTCGTTCATTGTTCACATGCGAGGCACCAATCACAACAAATCACTCTCGCGTGTAGTGTAGGCTTGTTGAAAATATATCGATGTATCGATATATCGATATTTTTTGTTCGATATATCGATATTTTTTGTTCGATATATTTTGATTCGATATACATCGATACAAAATAACCAATATCGAAATTCGTATCAAAAACGATATTTTTTTAATTATTAGCGGCATATCACGATCTAACTAAATTCGTATCTGGAAAAATCGTAACTGGATCTCAGATTAATGATATACAACATATCTATGATCTGTGCGGTATTTAGTATTGTCTATGTCATCATTCGAAAATAGGGTCTATTTTTAGGGAGATAATTTTCGTTCCATTATTATTCCGCGTGTCATATTTCGTGAGCGATATTTTTGGGAAAATTCTGAGATGTTTTTTTCGCGATATATCGAAGCCGATATTGATATTTTTTTAAAATATCGATGTATCGATATATCGATATTTTTTTCAACTTTCGACATCCCTAGTGTAGTGTTACTATCCATTTCAGTACTAAATAGCCTGTGTAGAATGCACAAAGCGCCTGATTTTTCAGAAAACTTCCTGTCTATAGTAAAAAAATACTCTTACCCAACTAAAGAAAGTCCCCTTATTATCATTCGCTCTAATTCGTTCTGTCTTAACCGTAAAATGCCTGTCAAATGCGGCGAATGCCTGTCACATAGTAACCCAACTCGCGTGTGACCAATGAACGAATTGTCGTTTCATTTGCGCTAAATTTTAATACAGCTTTGAAAGATGATTCAACTCTCCCACCTGAACAAGTCTCCCGGTTTCCCCCTAAGTATACTTTCGCATAAATCAGTTAAAAGCGCTTCCTAATGTCGTACTCAATGACTACTCTCCGAAACCGACATTCGACATTTCCAAGCAATAATACCAGCAAAGACTGCTACAAATTGCCACACTAATTCCTGTTGGTATCTTTAAAACCAATCTATCAACGGGCACTGCACACCGGACGGATTATAGCGGGGAGCATTAACTCCCCGATGAAAGCACCAATATAGTTCATTCCCATAAACCTTTACGATATCGTCTAGCCAAACGAATTTATGTTTATCGCACGGTGCAAATTGCATTCGCGTCTCTATTCCTTGCGCGGTAAGGCGTAAGTTTTTTGAATATCCTTCAAAAAAGTTGCACTAAGTTAAATGTCTGTTGATTCACCGTCTTTATGGTTCTGTTTCGGAGCCCACGTGTAGTTTCATATCGGACGGATGGTCCTTGTTCCCGATTTCGTTTTATAGTAATACACGGACGGTTATCGTCTCTGTGTGTCTAGAAACTAGACATGTGTAAGTAATGCGCGTGATATTACATTTATGATATTACGCGAAGTTGTAATGTCATATCACATATCACCCGACAGAATGAAACATTACACCATCACTTTAAAACATCACGCAGTACACTGAATGAAACAAATAACGATCTTATTCCTTTCCACAAGGGTCTTTTTTAGGTTTGTTCGATAATGATGGCGAAATGTAATGTTATCAAAAATTACGCAGCACTAGCGACACCATCCTACCTTAAGTGTCAAACATCACGCAACACGCTTAAATAAATTTCGACTTTATGTTCTTACAACTAAAGGTTTTTTTTTAGTTTGCTCTATCGTAGTGTAATGTAAACATTACGCAGCGCTAGCGACGCACAGCGGCCTAGCCGGGTAACTTTCAATATGTTCGAATAATATAAATTACAGAAACACTCCTCAAATTATTCGCATGTATATTAAATTACAAAACTATTATTTGAAGTATTTTTTTTGTTAATATTGACGCATTAAATACCTACTAATGAAATAAATCTATGTTGAATACAGTATTTGATTACTATCACTCGAAACATTACCCGTGATTTTTATTACTAAGTCACATATTAATAAAATCACGGGTAATGTTTCGAGTGATAGTGATATTACAGAGTGATATTACTCAGCGAGTAATGTAATGTAATATTACATCACGCCATAGAGCACTGTTTTGCGCATGTCTACTAGAAACTATTTTTATAGACTACTTACTACCATTAGGTTTTATTTGAGATGTTTTCGTAGGAACTCTATTTTTTTTTATTTTATTTGTAACAACATTTGTAAGAAAGATGTTCAGTGATAATTAGCTAAGTTGACATAACATGTTGTGCCAATATCGGCATACAAATTAATTATTATTTATATTCATAATTATTATAATTTATTTATTAGAAAAAGACAATAAATTGGGCAAACACTTTAAATAATATGTCAATACTTTCAAAACAATCATAATCAAATATCAGTAAACTGGGCAGAAACTGTTTATAGGTACATGTCAATACTGTCAATTTAATAATCAAATGTCAATAAAATTGGCTAAAACTATAAATAACATGTCCATATGTACTTGCAATTCAATTATCAAATGTCAATAAATTTGCCATAACTATGTATGTTTTAACGCTGTTAAAAAAATAAGACTCTTAACTGATGTGGAAACGGCAAGATTAGTTTACTTTGGTTACTTTCATAGTGTTATGTCATATGGCCTTTTGTTGTGGGGATCAGCCGCTAATATCGAAAGTATTTTCATACTGCAAAAGAGAGCTGTTCGCGCCATATACAATTTAAAGGCAAGAGAATCCCTTAGAGAAAAATTTAAAGAAATCAATATTTTAACACTGGCGTCGCAATACATTTATGAAAATTTAATATATGTAAGAAAAAATTATGATGAATTTGCAAAAAAAAGTCAAACCCATAACTTTAACACGAGATTTAAGAACAAGCTTGCCGTTCCATGTTTCAGACTCCAAAAATCAAGAGGTTCATTTCTGGGTTGTAGTATTGCATTGTTTAACAAAGTTCCCCAAGATCTGATTGAGCTTCCACTGACTAAATTTAAATCTCAGATCAAAAATACTCTTATGAATAAGGGCTATTATAAAGTTGATGATTATCTAAATGATCGTAATGCATGGACATAGTCTTTCTTATAATTTGATATTAAATGGGTATTACTCATTTTTCATAACAGTAATATTGTACCTATCTAATGCCGCTTCCTATATACTACTTAAAATGTTAACTATAAAATTAATTGTAACTACATATTTATATTCTAGATGATGTAATGGAAAGTGACTTCAGACGTATTTCTGAAGTAATTTTTCAACTTGACGACACTGTATATAACAATACAGGGAGAAAAAAACAGCCCTTGCTGAGTTTCTTGCCGGTTCTTCTCAGTACAAGGTCTCCCGCCGTAGTTTTGCGAACCGATGGCGTAGCTTCTTGACCTTCACAAGTGCTTGTAACAGCCTAGACTGAATAAATGACATTTCATTTCATTTCATTTCATATGAACATAATAGAATAAAATCACAATTTGTCAATTAAAAATTCTGATACATTATAATAACATTTATCAAATAATAATTTCTTAATTTTCTGTTTAAACAGATTCTGATTTAAATCTTTCAAAGATGTTGGGAGTTTATTATATATTCGAGGAGCCATACAGAATATATTATTTCCCATGAGAGCTGTTCTGGAGTTCTATTGACTCCTGTAATATTTTCTGGTTGTTGCAATTCAGTTTAAGCTTAATGTACTTCGTTTTTCTGGATTCAATATTAACCATCGAACATACCCCGATTATAAACGGTCACAGACATCAGGTATTTTTAATTTCATTCGTAAATAAATAAAATAACCGTAAATGCAAAATTGTCATTACTAAGCACAGTAATTATTTTACCACAAACATCTTTCTCGGTGACGCTGTGGTTAACATATTCGAACTGCAATGGTAGAAATTAAACAACTTTTGCAATCGCTGCTAATCGGATGGGTGATCAAAAATTTCTCAAGCTCTCCGTGCTAACGGCACCCCGCCTGCAGGAGCAGTCGTTAGCGCTGACTACTCAGCATTTAAAAAGAAAAATGTACATATTTATTTTAATACAGACATGGACATGAGGCGCTCGTTTGCGCAGGTGGTTAGCGCTTTCATCTGTGATCGTGGAAGTTAAGGAACTTTCGCAATGGTCGGTCATTGGATGGGTGGCCAAAAATTTACTATCTCGAGCTCCTCCGAGCTTTACCTCGTGGAGGAAGCACTGTTAGGTTTTTAATGGGTAAGCCCTCCCCCTCATCCTTGGCAGCCGCTGCCAAGGGCTGGCTGAGTGGGTGGGCGGGATTTGGGGAGAGGAGAAGTTCCAAACCCCATCTCTCGTCTAAGCAAGCAGAGCGTCACGCATTTACCCCATAAAAAGGGTGCCACATTACCTTGTATCACCAGATTCGTAGTCTTGTCTAGACGCAAAGACGCAGTTGCCAGTCTTTCGGTGTTCTATCGGTTGCATTTCGGTGAGTGCGCAGAGGAATTACATGAGCTAATTCCTCCCGCCCCTTTCTACTACCGGACGAGCAGGGAAACGGCAAGGCGACATCGATTCACGGTGGCAGTTCCAAATACTCGCACTAAGCGATTCGCTTCTAGTTTCATCGTGCGGACTGCCAAACTGTGGAATTCCCTGCCTGAGCCCTTGTTCCCCGAGCACTACAATCTAGCGGTCTTCAAAGCAAGAGTGAACCGGCGCTGAAAAGCGCGCTCCATCGTAGACCATAATATTGCCTTTAAAGGGACTTGTCCAATGATTGTGATGACTCATTTACTTTTTTCTCCTGTCTCCAGGCTATGCTGTTCTACGCGCCCCGGTGGCTGTGGAAGTCGTGGGAGGGGGGCAAGATCCGAGCGCTGATGATGGACCTGGACGTGGGCGTCTGCACCGAGATCGAGAAGAAGACCAAGAAGAAACTCATACTGGACTACCTGTGGGAGAACCTGCGCTACCACAACTGGTGGGCGTACCGGTACTACCTGTGCGAGGGACTTGCTCTTGTCAATGTCATAGGTAAATATCAAATCAAATCAAAATCGTTTATTTAGCACAGTACACGGATACAGATAAATTGTTATACTTATAACTTACAAAATGACAATTAGATACAGACATTAATAAATACCACTTAACATATAACCATACTGGCGTCGATTCCGGCACGAACCCCCAAACGGAAACTTAAACCTGACAGCAGCGTATCCCTGTCACTACGTATAGTGAATGAAAGGGACTGACCGATGCCAAATTCAGTCCTAAGTTAATAGAATCATGCCAGAATCGATACCTATAGCACTCCGTATCCACGGCTGCGCTGAAAACGGCCCAGTTCAGCATAATGTCAGTGCACTATACACTGGCGCTGGTTTTCAACTGGGTCCTTTATCTGACAAGTGGATGCCAAACACTAACGATTTTTTATATGAATAATTATATAATTTAAAAGAAAAAATAAAAAAAAGGGGCAAGGCTGTGTAAATCCGTTGCTTTTGCACCGAGACTAGAAAATTAATAAAAAATATATATTTAAGGTTAAATAAGTTACGAGTTTAATGAGGGCCGCGGTAACATAATTGGTCAGTGCATTCGCCCGGATTGTGAAGGGTGCGGGTTCGAGTCCCGTCTGCTGACTGCTCCGCGTGGATTTTTTTCTAGTTATGTTTTCTTTAGATTTAAACATCCAGCAGTTACATGTTTTAAAAATTTAAAAATTATAACTATAATTGCTATTTCTTCTTTCAAATGTTTAATACTTGTAAAAGTATTCATTTGAAATTGTGGGTTACCTACCTATAATGCGAAGAGATGGCGCTGCCATGCAGCTTAAGAATGGTTAGGGGAATTTCGACGCGGTCCCTGAGGGCCGTGGTAGCATAATTGGTCAGTGCATTCGCCCGGGTTCGAGTCCCGTCTGCTGCCTGGTCCGCGTGGATTTTTTTCTAGTTATATATTCTTTTGATTTAAACATCAAGCACTTACATGCTTTAAAAAATTAGAAATTATAATTATGAGTTTAATGTTAACTTTTTTAAGATTCTGGGTGCTACTTTGGCAAATACTTAAATGTTTTTTGACATTTTTGTATTTAATTTACTACTGCTCAGGCTCCGTTGTATCTCCATAGTTTATGCTCAAGACAACAGAGTCTTAGGCCGGGGTGTATACCAGGGAGTCATCACAATCGAATGAATATCTTTAGTAGTACGTAAGTAGAAGTCGCATAAACCATAAACTATACCTACTAATAAGAAAATGGGTGCGTGTACTTATGTAGGCGCGTGAGAAGTTATCCTTCTTTGGCATCGTTTAAAATTAGTTTTTAATTGCATGCAAATAATTAATTACAATAAATTAATAAAAAGTCTGGAAAAGGACACAGTCAATAAAGTTCAGTTTTAATTTGAAAAAATAAATAAATAATCAAAATATTCAATTAAAATCGCTACTGAATATAATTTATTAGAACATATGTGATTTGCACTTGTATGAAACTCAAACACGTATTCCGAATATACAAACTAGAAACACGTGGATAAATATTATAAATATGAATACCTATAATTGTTACTTTATTACAAAAAATAAAGATGTGGTTTTTGGTTCTACTACACCAATGGTCAAGAGATGGCGCTGTAGTCTCTGTTAAAATTTTGTGTTACAGTGATGCGCGCGCATCTTAAAATTTCACTCTCATCATTTTTTCATAACGCGCCTAAAGAAGTATAACTTCATAAATTACCAAATTTACCTTTTTCCTAAAAAAGCAGTTGTCCAACAAACACGCACGAGTTATACGACAATGCTGAAGATAATTTTTTGCCAATCATATTTTTTATTTTTTGCTTACTTCTTCACTTAAAAAATCACGATAACCTTCAAAATACTGACATGTACTATTTATTTATTTATATTACATTGCTCATGTACATTATTTATTAAAAGGTCTTACATACTTAATAGTGAGTGGTACATGACCCCGTTGGGGTGTTGCATTGTTTCACTTAATTGTTGATCATATTAAATCACATCAGGTCCAACCAAATTTAAACAAAATCAATCCATTTTAAAAATTAATCAAGTCAATTTATATCATATCATGTCATCATAATCATATCAAATCAAAATCGTATTTTATCAAGTTAAATCAAATCAAATTAATAGGTCAAACATAATTAAGTTAAACTAAATCAGATCAAATAAACAGGTCAAGCATAATTAAGTTAAATTAAATTTATTTTCATCCCACCACCTCGGAAAGTGTAATTTTGCGCTTCGAAATCTGGCTGGAAAATTCTATTTTATTCGCTTGAGCGGCAAAGTAGATTTGAATTTAGAACATCACATATAATGAGTACTCAATATAATTGTAAATTCAAAACGTCATTAAACCTATTTAATGTAACCTCTATGGTGCCAAATTTATGATTAGAACTTTTTAAATTGTGAAAAAATTTAAATTTGGAACCTTCTTGGTTTCTTTGTTTTATTTGCGTGCTTCGCGCCATTCTAGTTTTTCACGTTTTATTGCTTAAATATTTTGTCATTATAAATTGTTTTCTTTTTCATTTTGTCATTTCCTCGCTGAGGTGGGATGAAAAGCTACGTATTGCACTCGAGTGGAAAGATTTTTCACCTTGTGCTCGTTTGTTTCCCTCGCTGACGCTCAGGATTCTAATTTAGAATCACTCGCTGCGCTCGTGATTCAACTTTAGAATCCTTCGCTTGCTCGGTCATCCAAATCGAGCACGCGGTTAAAAAGGAACTTTCCACTCTTGTATAATAAATAACTATTTTCATTCATAAATTCATCAACAGAATAATACGCTTTTTTATAAGATGCTGTTTCAATCTATTCTTAAATATGTATATTAAAATGTCTTTTGATTGATAACAGATATAGTCTCGAAAATTTTCATTCTTCAAAAATTGCACCGTCTTTTGTGGATATTACGGATACTTAGGTATAATCACCATGGACGAAGGCTAGTAATACTTGGTCCATGATAATCCCTTTACACTCCATTTTTATCACAGCAGCCGTTCGAATTTTGAAATTCAGAGCATAGACAGTGCATTTGTTTTCTTTATTATGTCAGCAAGGAGGCGGACAAGGCATATCGGAACGGGTGCGCTGTAAAGGTTTTACGTTCATTTTAATCCGGTCCCTTATGATTTACAGGCCGGGTTAGTTGGTGATTCAGGGCAGGAACCGCGACAGATGGGCCTCTGATATTCCCAATGTCTTGTTAGGTGCGTGGGGAGCCATCAAAAGAGCGTTAAAAAATATTGCGAGGTTTATTTATATTTGCTTGAGATTTTGTTCAAGTTTCTTTACTTTCTTGTAATACTGTAAAGGCTTTATTCCAAGTATAAAGGTTTTTTTTTAAAAAATTATTTGAGTTAAATTATGTGTTAACATATCCGTACATATATTCTTATTCATAAATAAAATATCATTAAAATTTTATGCCACAGGCTAAATTTAAACGAATAAAATTGTGGCGCTGTAAAAGTTTCTCTTTGAAACAAGAGAAATATAATAACAGGCAGATAATAAATGGTTGGGTGGTTTTGATACTCTACTTATCATAGTAATCATTTAAATACTCGCGATGCTGGGCCAATTTAAAAGAGGAGTATCCACTCAAATTAGAGAGGTTGTAGATCATGCTTATAATTTTAATTATTTTACATTAACTTGTGTGACTTACACCCTACAGCACAGTACACACTACTTTTGTTATTGGAAACGCGCGGTAGCATAAGACGCAGCGTCCAACGTCGGTTATCTATTCCGATATATAATAAGCGTATTGCCCGCCTATTTCGTGGAGCCCGTTTGAGACGCGCGGCCAGCAAGTTTCGGTGGCATCGTACACACTAGTTTTGTTATTGGAAACGAGCTGGGTGCTACTCTACCGCTCGCTGCAAGCAAAATAGACTGACGACACGCTCGTAAATCGATCCAAAACATTTGGTTAACAATTTTTTTTTATTAAATACAAAAAATATACCTGCTTCCATATTTCTAATTCATTATAACTTCACTATTAATTTCTATTTCTTTCTTTCTGGTAAAACTTTTCTTTGGATTTAAACATCTACCAGTTAAATGCTTAATAATAAATAAAAACATAACTATAATTGCTATTTCTTCTTTCAAATGTTTAATACTTGAAAAAGTATTCATTTGACATTATGGGTTACCTACAATGCGAAGAGATGGCGCTGCCTTGCAGCTTAAGGCTAGGAAAATTTCGACGCAGCCATCAGGGCCGTGGTAGCATAATTGGTCAGTGCATTCGCCCGGATTGCGAAGGGTGCGGTTTCGAGTCCCGTCCGCTGCCTGGTCCGCGTTGATTTTTTTTCTAGTAAAACTTTTCTTTAGATTTAAACATCTAGCAGTTAAATGCTTAAAAAAAAATCACTATTAATTGTTAAATGACTCTTTTAGAGCTATGTCGATGTGCCTCAATGGTCAGTTTTAATAATCAACCTCCAGCACATATTAAGGGAAATCTGGTTCCGTTCCTTAGCAGTAAGTAACAGTTGTTATTATAGTTTAAATAATAAAAATGTCTAGGCACCAAAGTTTTAATACATAGGACTATCTCTTACTAAAGTTTGATATTAGAAACTGTACGTTAATATTTAGCTATGTTTGACAAATAATACCACAGAACCCAGAAAGAGATTGAAGGGGCAGGCATGCCACAGTTATGTGTGAGCAAATCTATATATATAAAACTCAAAGGTGACTGACTGACTGACATAGTGATCTATCAACGCACAGCCCAAACAAACCACTAGACGGATCGGGCTGAAATTTGGCATGCAGGTAGATGTTATGACGTAGGCATCCACTAAGAAAGGAATTTGATCAATTCTACTCCCAAGGGGATAAAATAGGGAATGAAAGTTTGTATGAAACTTTGTCAATTTTAAACCGATCGGGCTGAGACTTTGCATGCATGTATAAGAAGAATCATAGATGAATGTCATTGTGTATAATA